GTTAGTGGGTTTAAAGTTAATTGAACTTAAAACTATCATTAAATTAACGTTAAATTAAAAATGTTTATTCAGATTAACAATAAATAAACGTTAGGCAAATTGTGAAATGGCTGTCCGAGCTCAAAGGATGAAATTAAAAGGGGATTAGATTACTTTGCTTCAATATCAGGATTAAATAATGAAAGATAAGAAGAAACAAAATTACTTTCGATTGAAAGTAAAATAAATTATGAAATAAAATGTGTTCTACGACCTAAGGAGAAAGAAAATGGAAGATAAGCTAATAATCTTTCAGTTATTTCAATTCAAAAATTGAATACTTAGCCTTGTTCCTTCAATTTGTTTTTGTTCTTGAACTTAAGTGTCCTGGTAATATCAGGTATCTTATCTTCAGATTTGTGTACGCCTTTACAGCTTCTCACCCACTTTCTGAAGAAGTAAAAAAAAAATTATCACAGAACACATGTCATATAAAGTATCTGTAGTTATATATAATCAGCCATGGACACCCCTCCCTCTTAGATTCTTCGGTTTTATTACTTTTACATAATAATTATTTTGTTAAAAAGCATTCTGACTGTACACACAAGTACTCTGAAGTTGATATTAAGAAGATGCTTGAGTTCCTGATTGACAATATCAATGTAGTGTTTGGAGATCAGGTCTTTCCACAATCTATTTGAATTCTCATGGGTACCAATTGCGCACCCTTGTTAGCTTTTTTTGTTTGTTCATTGTTTAATGTCCCTCTCGAGAATTTTTCACTCATATGGAGACGCCACCACTTGCCGGTGGAGAGCTGCAAATTTTGTCCTATACTCGGCACTTACGGCCATTGAGCAGTGAGGGATCTTTTTCGTGCCAGCACCTACTGCGACAAGGAACCTCGGTTTATACGGTCTCATCCGAAGGACCGGTCTCCTCGTCCCACAGTGGGATTCGAACCCGCGACGTAAGGATCAACTCCTTACTCCGCGACTCAAGAGCGCACGCTCTAACCACTGCGCCACGCGGGCGACTCCCCTTGTTAGCAGACCTATTTTTGTATTCATATGAAGCAGAATTTATTCAAAACCTTCTACATGAGAAGGAAAAAAAAACACTTGTTCTTGCCTTCAACTCGACATTAAGATATATCGACGACGTATTATCAATTAACAATAGTTACTTCCATTCATATGTCCACTCGATATATCCCAGTGAGCTTGAAATAAAATATAGCACAGAGTCTGACACAACTGTTTCATATTTGAATATTTTACTAGAAAAAGACTTTAATAGTAACCTAACAATAAAGCTTTATGATAAACGTGATGATTACTATTTTTCGATCGTCAACTTTCCTTACTTGTGTAGCAATATACCCTTATCACCTGCATATGGTGTTTTTGTTCTCCCAGTTAATTCGATACGCAAGAGCATGCTCTACGTATGAACAATTTCTAAAATAAAGCAAGTTATTGACAAACAAGTTGATGAAACAAGGATACCAACAGTCTGTTTGAAGTCATCATTTCGCAAGTTTTATGGTTGATACAATGACATTGTCAGTAAATACAAACTGTCGTTAAGTCAAATGCTGACTAACGTTTTTCATACTAATTGTGAGAGTCTAACTATTGTAAGTTCATTATTTACACACTGAATGGATCACCCGCGTGGAGCAGTGGTTAGAGAGTCTGCTCTAGAGTCGCGAAGTAAGGAGTTGATCCTTACGTCGCGGGTTCGAATCCCACTGTGGGACGTGGAGACCGGTCCTTCGGATGAGACCGTATAAACCGAGGTCCCGTGTCGCAGTAGGTGCTGGCACGAAAAAGATCCCTCACTGCTCAATGGCCATAAGTGCCAAGTATAGGACAAAATTTGCAGATCTCCACCGGCAAGTGGTGGCGTCTCCATATGAGTGAAAAATTCTCGAGAGGGACATAAAACAACATACAAACAAACAAACAAACACACTGAATTGTATATATATATATACGGATTTTTCCTCTTTTCCCGATCATGATAAGGAGCACACAGCGTGTGAGACCGGTTTGCAGGGGATGCTAACTCCTCCATGGCACCTGATCCCACCTCTGATGTTTGCAGAGATCCGTGTTTGTTCTGCTCCCGATTTATATTGTCCAGGTGGACTTTGAGCTTGAATACAGTTTGTAATCTCCATATTTCATAAAGATTGATAACCTTAACAAAACCGCCTTCCACGTAAAATATATTTTTGAGGCCTATGTATTTGACCCCCCCCCTTTTTTTTTTCTCCACCCACTTAACCAATACACGAATGTTTTTTTTTTTTTTTTTTTTTTTTTTTTTTTTTTTTTTTTTTGGTTGATTGCTGGAAAAAAGCAAACAAAACTATTTTTGATTTTGTATTGTTTGTTTAGAAGTGCATGGAAGATTAAAAACACTAATAGATACTTTATAAAGGGGCACTGTACTTGTTTTATTGATACAGAGTGAAGATGCAACACAGTCCTTCGGATGAGATCGTAAAAACCGAGGTCCCGTGTCGCAAAAGGAGTTGGCACGAAAAAGATCCCTCACTGCTCAAAGGCCCTGAGTATAGGTATAAATTTGCAGGCCCCCACCGGCAAGTGGTGCGTCTCTAAGTGAGAGAAAAATTCTCGAGAAAGACGTTAAACCATCATTAAAAAAGATGCAACATTTTGAGGGCTGCAAAGAAATCGTCCCTTTTCGAGTGTTTGTAAAACTTGAGTCTTACAGTTTATTTTGAATGTAATAAGAGTCCATCTTTTGTGTTAAGGTATCCGATCCATTTTAAGATTTAAAAAAGAAAGGAAAGCGCATTCAAGATCAAATCACATATTTTTAATCTAAAACAATATAAACAATAAACAATATAAATAGATCTTTCATTTTACCAATAAATAAGCAGTGTATAGAAAAAAAATTTATTGAGGGAATTGAAAAAAAAAATCAAAATTATGCTGAAATTGATTTATTGGTATCACGCCATCACCATGAATTTAAATATCGGTAATCCTATTTTCACATGTACACAGTTTTACACAGTAATAGGGCAGATAATTATTGAATCTACTTTAAAGCCTTTATAAATCTGCTGCATTGATCTTCAACTGCATTTAAAGTAGAAATATCTGTTGTGAGGACAAATTGGCGTAAACGCTTTTGTTTAGCAAAGAACCACCCGCACGACGCCCTCTGTCTAACTGGGTGTTAGCATGTAAACATGTAAAGTTTAAATTGTTGGTTGTAAATTTGTAAATTGCAATTTATACCATTGCAACTTGTTTATTTTAATTATCAAACATAACAGACCTGTGCAAAATATAAAAGAAAACTACGACAATGCACAAGATGATTGTAATTTGTAAGTGTTAATTTAAAACCAAAGTGTGTCCATATGGAACATGTGATTTGTAAACTTGCAATTTGTCAGATTGTAAAATGTAAATGTTATTTTAAAAAATTTACAATTTGTACCATTACAATATTGAAGCCATTGAGAAACTTAAAAACTCCCACGCCATCTATTGTTGACTCAGATATGCAAGCCATCTAGCACACACACACACACACACACACACACACACAGTGCCATAAAATACTGCCGTTTTAATAGAAACTACAGGATCACTTTTAACAAGGCTCTTACATTCATTCTTATTCATCGTCGCAAGCCAAAAGTCAGGGATTATTTTGTATTGGTTCTATTTCTACAAACAGAATTGACACCAAATCCTGTTGCTTGCGACAATGTTAAACAATACAAAAAGGCAATTGATGTAAATATTTGACCTAAACATTTTAAAACCAAATTCACTAGATTATATGTAATTATATATACGTATATGTACGTGCCATCGAAAACACACGAGGACATGTAAACATCTGCGTATGACATAATTCATATCATCTGGTGTAATCACCAATTACTAAAATAATTTTGATAGCTTGATAGTGTTCTACAGAAGATTGAGTTCTCGGTCATTTACCTTCATGAATACTCTAGTTTTCACCACCTGTTATAGTCAAGATATATAGTGACGACTGCGCTTATCTGCACTTTTCTACTTCTACCTTTTAATCTGTCTAGAACGAACTTCCTTTTGTCTGAGGAAACAGTTTTCAAGGTAAAGTTTCTCACGATTATAAATTGGTTATAGCTATTTTGAATTTCAATCTTTTAGGAACTTTTGGAAATACAATATAGAGCGTAACCATGTTTGTACTGGCATAATCTTTGCGAATTTTTGGATTCGGATAAATATAATTTATATGAATTGAATCTGGCTAATTTGAATGAAATTAATTTCTTTCGTGGGATTACGATTAAGAAAAAAGGGGCGTGGCTTGAAGGTTACAGAGACCTCTTCAACATCCATTTATTTTACTTTTGATATCTGCTCTACACAACTTTTTATTTTCTATGAATTTTGTAATGGTTCAGGACAACGCTTTGCTACAGATGTAGACTTATCACCTCTATGAAAGCCAAGTCTGATGAATTTCTAATGGATAGTATAAAATTGGTATTTCGGGTACTCGCACCATTACTGCTGTTATGCAGTCACTGCTAATGAATACTTCACTTCAAAAAATAATTATGCAGGTTTACGTAACTAAAGTACAGTTTAATATTCAATTTAATATCTACAGAATTTATATATCCTCGTACGAAACATGTCATCGTTCTTGTACGTAGCTTTAAAAAACATAACACACAGGTAAATCAGGTTGGAATTTAACTCCGCAAGCGAAGTTTAATAAATAGGCATTCGACCCGCTTTTGTGCCCATCTTCTTTCCCATGTTACAAAATGTTTTTATTTAGTATATAAATGGAACTTGATATTGGATTAAATCGGTCTGAATTATGTTCCTCAAAGGTAAGTGTGCAAGAACAAGATGATTTTTTTTTCAATGCCATAATGTCAAAAGAATGCATATACTCGCCAAATTATCCTTAGAAAGAAGCAAACTTGAAATTTAACGTCAATTTACTTCATTTAACCAGGGTCTCCCAACATGTGCACAAGACTCTTATACGCATGCGTCGCATTAGGACACCTGCTAGTCGTAACAGGAAAGCAATGTCCCGCACCTTGTTTTTGTCACAAAGCTGTTGTCAACTGCAGTGGGAAAAAACTAGAACGAATTCCGAAAAATCTACCTCCTTCCACAAAAATGCTGCTTCTTGATCATAACCGTATTCAGAATATCAGAAAGGGTGACTTCTGTGTTTTAACAAACCTTGTGGAATTACAATTACAGAATAACAAAATCGAATCAATTTTTTCCGAAACGTTCACGGGTGTCTGCATTCCAAATATTCAGACAATCCGATTGGAAAATAATAAGATAAATGTAACTGAAGATAGTGCATTCTACAATTTATCAGTACTTGTTAATACGACGTTGACAAATAACAAATTAGTTCAGATACATCCTAACACATTTCGTGGTACTCCTTTACAGTTTTTACATTTGGGAAGTAATCATCTTACTACAATACCAAATTTACAAGGACTTGATGGTCTTAATGATATAATATTGGAGGGAAATAAAATACAGAACTGTACCTTTCCAACTGAGTTTGCGACCATGTCCAATTTGACGACAATCGGAATGAGCAACAACAAAATACAAGAATTGTCCAAAGACGCTTTTATCAGTCTTGATCATTGTAAAATACGTACACTAAAACTTGCCCGAAATAATATATCCAGAATTTCAAATGAAAGTTTATTACCTTTGTCAAAGCTACGATCTCTTACAATTGGTTGGAATCCATTAACTGACAGTGAACTATATAATGCGTTATCCGGGTTGTTAAATGCTCCCTTGTCCTCTCTTAGCATCTCAAGTGTACAGTTAAACGGACTCATTCCGTCTGTCTCGCTGAAGTTGCTAGACGATGTGAACTTATCAACTCTAGATATGAGTTTTAATGAAATCAATAATATTCCATCTGAAGGGTTAAAAACACTGACAAAATTAAACAATTTAGATTTGAGCAATTGTGGAATTCGTTATATTCATGAAAACGCCTTCAGTAATCTCAAAAATCTTAATAATCTTAAATTGAGCAATAACTATATACAGTCTGTGCCTAAGAATATTCCAAAGAATTTGCTATATCTTTACATGGCTGGAAATCAAATAAATGTTTTAAGAAATAATTCGTTCTCAGATTTAAGATCTTTAAGACGTCTTCATTTAGGAAACAACAAAATTCTGACACTGTTTGAAGGAGCCTTTTTAGGTCTAAACAAATTAGAAGAAATACAGCTGCAAGGAAACCGCATTAATACTCTTCCTAGCCGTTTATTTGCTCCGTTTACTCGTCTCATTCAATTAGATCTTCAACAAAACAAATTAAAAACAATACAAAACTCCACTAAAACATTTGCCATGATGACGTCATTGAAATATCTAAATTTAGCTGATAATGGCTGTTCCTCTCTTCCTTCAACACTGTTCTCAAATTTGAAATCGCTGCAGAAGTTAAATCTTCGAGGAAATCAGCTTGGAAAATATTTAATAAATGACTTCGGAGGAAATTTATTTTTGGGATTAAAACAACTACAATCTCTTGATATATCAAGCAATCAAATTCATTCCTTCCCCTCTAACATCTTCAGAGACATGAAGAATCTCCATACCTTGCTTTTACAAGATAACTGGATATCTGGATGGGGAGTGACCCTTTTTTCCAATTCCATTTCTCTTTCTTCTTTGGATTTGTCAAATAATATGATAACAATCATCAACGAAGAAGATATGAAGAATTTAGGATCATTAAAGTCTGTCAACTTTACAAACAATCCCTTTGCGTGCATTTGTGATTTGCGTTGGTTTCGGAGGTGGATCAAGAACACAAATATAAAAGTGATAAACGTTGAAAAATATAAATGTAATTCTCCAGTTGAATGGAAAAGCAAATTCTTGCTTTCTTTTGATGAAACTAAAATTGAATGTTCTCTTGTGCCCGTTTCAGCAGCTGTAGGAATTGCTTCTGGTGTATTAGTAGTAAGTATTATAAGTGCTTTCATAATCTATCAAAATCGATTTAATATTATATTTCTACGGTATTGTGTGAAAAAATGGTTCGCAAGGAAACATGGAAACTACGAAGAAATCATAAATAAAGACTTTGATGCTTGCCTTATTTATTCAGAATCATCCGATGAGGATAAGAAATGGATCGAAACAAATTTTATGCCAGACTTTGATAGGGGAACTGAAGACGATGATTACCATGGTGAATATAAGATTTATTATCAGGAACGTGACACATTGGGAAATGCAGATGCTTTAGAAACAATGACGGAGGTCATGGAGAAAAGCAGAAAAATCATTTTAGTGGTAACGAAAAATTTAAAGTCGTACCCTCCCATACATTTTTTGATTTCAGTGGCTTTATGGTTACAAGGATCTTCAGTTGATCACATTATTATTGTAACAGTGGGGAAAATTTCATTTGCAGATGTACCGCGCCTTCTTCATACTATATGCAGGATAGGTGATCAAGTTGAGTGGAAACACAATAATATAAATTGCAATAGAGTTTTTAAGGAAAGGATTAAGGAAGAGTTGGGTAACCCGCTCACATAGTATGCTTCAGAGATGCACAGCTGTCCTGTTTAAAGAACATTGACTTTTATATAATGGCAAGATGTTGGATGCTTAAAGGGAGGTCCATGGGATACAATGCGTTACTTTTCTTTAACAAATGAATGTGTTAATGAAGAATGCTACTGTGTCAACTTTTTTCCTGAAATCATGCAAAATAGAAATTTTATAAACCGGAATACCGCTGCAATTATCTTAAAGTCTGGTATCCTATTTTCTCTTAAATGCTGTCTAGAAATTGTTTATCCATAGATGCAAAAAAAAAATCGATTTGACATCCCAAAAAAAATATAAGCAAACTAAGAAAGATGGTTACCATATATATGTATTAACGGTAGATTGATTGGAGTAGTTAAAATGATATAATACCAAGCAGAATCGATGATAAACATGATCTCTTTCTGCTTCCCGATTCCAAATATTTCTAAAGTGACATCAATTCATATAATTTTATTTATTTATTTATTTATTTATTCATTCATTTATTTATGCCCCCGTAATAGAAGATTCGAAGGTATATATGTTTTTGCCCTGTCCGTCCGTTAGTCTGTTTGTCCATAAATACTTTAACCTTGCCCATGCCTTTTGATTGGTTGGATATGGTTTTTGTATTTTACAAATGCATTCCCTGTGACAATGCCTTTCTTTGGGTACCAACATATTTGACCTCATGAGCTTAACCTTTGAATTTGGCCAACTATTGAAGAAAAAAAATTACCAAAATTTAACCTTGATCATAATTTTGAGGAGTTGGTGCTAGGGCTTTCATACTTCACATGTGTATTCATTATGACATGACCTTTCCAAGGATATAAATATTTTTGATCTTTTGAACTTGACCCCTTGAGTTTGACCCTCTTTTTAAAAACTCTAACCTTGCTTATAAATTTTGAACAGTTAATACTAAGGCCATAATATTTCCCAAGTATTTCCTGTGACAAGACCTTCCTTTAAATTGACCTTTTGACCTTGACCTTAGAGTTTGACCTACTTTTGAAAAAATAGCCATGGGAATATAATACCTTTAATTTGACCTTGGAGTTTGACCGTCATTTGAAAAACTTTAACCTTCCAACAAATTTTCAATGGTTGGTGCTTGGGCTTTCACAGGTATATTCACTAAGACGAGTCCTTGGGGGGGGGGGGGGGGGGTGTAACATATTTGATCTCTTGTCCTTGGAGTTTGACTTGCATTTGAAAACTTTTACGTTCTCTAGAATCAGCCATACGGGGGCATCAGTGTTTCACAAACACATCTTGATTTTTTTTTTTATTTTGGAATATCAATTTTAAGCTGCAAATCTTTTTTTTTAGTATATTAAGACGTTTGTTATTCAAAAAGGAATTACCTAGTATATTCCCAGTGTGATATTCTATAAGAAGTTATAGAGAAGATGACCCTTTATTCCTATACATTTTCTTACCTTGTATAGGAGTTCCTTTTTACTGATTAGAAAAATTAAGACAAAATGTATAAGGTTGTCTATTGAGGGTGCGAGTTAACGAGTATGTTATGACAGTGGATGGATGATGCTTCTATTATTTTCTAAAGCATTTCAAGTTCATAGGATGGAATTGAAAGGTCGTTAACTATTATATTAGATTATTTTGCATTACTATCAACATTGAAGAACTTCTCGGAGACATATGGATTGGAAGTAAATTAATTATTGAAACAAAACATGTTCCACAACTTTCTCTTTCCCTTATAACTTTTATACTACTGCATATACACATGTATGCATGTAGTATTTTATCTTTCTTGTTGTTTTTTATAAATGTGCAATATATTTTTTATGTTCCTGAATAAATTGCTTATTTTTCTGTATCATATCAAGTGTTTGTACGAGGGTAAAAATTTAAAATTAATTTTAAAAATCATTTTTATGTAGTTTTAATCTAAGTAATACATGTATTTCTTTTTTAATATGTTGACCACATACTAATGTTATTGTGATTTAAATTCAAATCATGTGTTCTTGGTCATTCAAAGGTTATAAGCCGCTGCAATTATCTTGTTTTATAAATGAAATTACCTACCATGTATAATTGTCCAATCGTTGAATGAATAGCAAAGCATGTTGGCCTACAACATGTTTACATATTATTTTTAGCACGTAGTTCAGGTCAATCTACGATACGATATTTAACGGACAGCGGAAAAAAAGAAATGCAAATAATTTTTTTCATTGTTTTATTTTTAAAAAATCCAAAAATAAGACATTAAGAAAAATGTCTAAGGCATATGCATACTCACAAGAAGAAATAAATTCAATTTGTTTGTTTGTTTTTTTAATTTTACCTCATAACTTGAAATTGGTACCTTTGTAATTTGTTGTCACGTATTATGTAATTGTTGACTAGAAATTCAAAAATTACTCATTAAAAAATAAAAATAACTACAACAATAAATGTTCAGAACGTTTTGTGAGCTTTAAGGATAAGGAAAACGAGCAACATCTCTAAGGCATTGAAATTGCCAACAAAGGTTTATTTTATTTTACAATTCGCTTGAACATTGGTGTCTTTTGCCTTTGGCAATGAAACTCACCTGACATTTGAATTCAACGATTATTACATGTACAACAAGGGAATACAGACGCAAATCGCCTTACATGCAGAATGACTTTTGGAAACCTATGTATATTTAACGATTGTTTGTAAATAATAGATAATTATGTTTTTCATGGAATATGAAGATAACAGTATTCAAGCTACAAGTCCTATGAAACAATACAAAGTGGGAGCAAGACAAACTTAGACCTCTAAAAACCTTCTTGGTATGAATCATTATGTTTTGAATAAAACTACCCGATTACATATAAAATAATAAATAAATAAATAAATAAATAAATAATGAATAAAAAAAATAACATATCAATAGATGCCACGCAAAATATAGAATTTTACGGCGCAAATTAAAGATATTTTAAGTTACATTTTTTAAGCAGTCCTCGCACATTTTCCTGGGTAAAGTGTAAACAGTCTTCATTTTTCATATGAACAAGAACAATCCATGTCGTTTGTGACGTTATTAACGATTTTTCATTCAATGGTAGCAAGAAAAAGAAAGAGATAGTTTCAAGTAAAGTAAAGGCAAGAAATTAAAAACGTGCATATGAATATAAAAATTAATGTGCTTTTCTTATAGATTTGAAGTATTTCAATAAGGTTTATATCACACTGCATGCTTAGTAGCGAATTAATGGATAACATGTTCAACAAAAATGCCCAGAGTCTAAAATGACCTGCACAAATAAAATTTATGCGTTTTTCGAGGGGTTAAATTCTATGTCTAATTTCATCAATTACAGAATTAATAATATGTCAAAATGTGCTAATCCAAACGGTCAATATGAATGTTAGATTGATAAATTTACTCAACTAATGAATATTTTACGCAACATTTAGGAGTTCAACATATTTGTCCTGTGGACGTTCTTGAGGCGTAACTCTTTTCGCTTCCATGTAAGTCACGAAAATGCGTTTAAGAGTGGTTTGCGTAATCAATAGTAATTATAATACACAAATCGAAAGGGTCCTTTTTGTTCGTTTGTTTAATTACAAGTAGTCTATGATTTTTACGGCTTGTCAAAGAATTTTTGGTAGTTGATATTGCCCCCCCCCCCAACTGAAAATGCTTGGTTGTGCCCCCCCCCCCTCCAAAAAACTGAAACTGCTTCCTACGGACCTGATTTTAACTCGGACCCTGTCCGGTCGTGGTGACTCTTGGTAGACAAAAACAAACGGAAAAAGAGCTTGTGGCAGTAGATTACAGACCATCGATAACTTGTTAGCTGTATTTAAATACAAGGTTATTCTTGGTGTGCATAGAAAGTCGACTGATTTTTGCAGTTCTAAATCTCTGAATTTCCATTGTATTATTAAATTATTAAAGGCATGTTGAATTATTGGTTTAGACTTGAAACAATCTTTACTCAAGGAAACATATTCAGTGTCGAAGAGCCTTTTCCTTCAAGATAAATCGTAATGGCTTGCATCCAAGTCAGCTCAAACAATGTTAGGCCAGTTATCTGAACTCAAAAATATTGACCCATCAAAAGAAAGTCCCTATTTATGTAGAAAGAATCCATCAATTATTATAAAACATTATTTTATAAATGCATGCCATAAAGAAAATGAGCAGCACAACAATTGCAAACTAAGAACTTAAGTTACATTAAAAAATAACTTTGGAAGAGAGCACTTTTTCACTATCTGATCGATATAATTTTGATCAGAGGAAAAGTATAACTAAACTCTGAATTTCTGCACATCAAATATTGAAAAGGGAAGTTATAAGGCCTTCCCCGGGAATTACTAGTGAGAGATGTTCAGTGTGATACGCAGGAGGTCGAAGAAGAACATAATTTTTTGTTGTTTGTCCAAAATATAAAAATGAAAGATTACAATGGAAACCATTTCAAAAATCAGTTTGAATTTTCTTTATTGACACCTGCTGAGAAACTAATAAAACTATTTTTTTTAAATTTTCAATGATATGGATGAAAAGAAGCTCCGACCAGGAAAATAGTACTTGTAAAGAATAACCAGAAGAATAGAACGTTGTTTATTACACAAGTGAATTCCACCTTTAATATGATACAAATATGACTGAGTGCAATCCAAGAGCGCATCATTCAGTAATAATGAAATTCAAAATATATTGCTTGGCATAAATTTATGTTAAATGATTAAAGGTTAGAAAGGAACGTGATATGGGATGAATAACAGAACAAATCAAAACTTAACATTAAAAGAAATCGCCATCTTTTCTCAAATAGCACAAAACAAAT